AAATGCTCACCTCCTTCTCACTTCCCTGCTTTTTTTTCTTCAACACACTCCAAGAGTGCAGTGTGTATTTACTGAGCTTACTTGTCTGCCTGTTACACTCCTGCTCCACGTTAGAATGTCAGCTCCGCAAGGCACGGCCACCACTAGTCCCACTGCCTCGTCTGGTATGTGGCAGGTGTTTCATAAATACTTCATCAACAAATGGATGGATGTTAAGTGGGGCAAGGGAGGGAACAACTAGCTGCCCGAGGAGGGGAGGGAAGCCAAAGGCTCCCAGAGAAGGTGACATTTAAGCTGGGTCTTGAAGGATGAATAGGATCCCGTAGGGCAGAGAAAGGAGAGAAAATCATCACAGGCCAGGGACCAGCACAGGCAACAGAAATGAAGGGTCTGGAGATGTGCAGATGTGGCTGAACACAGAGCAAACGAAGAAGGGGGCGGGCAGGGCCATAGTGTCGTGAGGGGGCCAAGGAACAGAGACCGGGCTTTAGGAATCAGGAGCGACCACGCCAGCTCAGGAGCATCAGCGACTTTTGAGGAAAAAGCAGGGTTTCCGGCCAGTCCCTGAGGGAGAGGCGTGTGTGCACCCTCCAGTCAGCTTCCTGGCACATCTTGTTCTGGCCTTTCAACAGGCGTGAGGAGCTGAAGAGGTGGGAAGTGTCCTCCCAGCAGCAGCAGTGAGAGCGGCTCCACGTGGATGGAGCTCGGTCCCTCACTGGCTGTGCGGCGGACTGTGGCTTCTCCCATCTCTAGACTGTGGATCCCAACAGCACACCTCATGAGAGGTGCTTTGAGAGGAACCGAATTCTAGCCAGTGCAGCGGCTGGGATGGGGCCTGGCACAGAAGCACCTGCTTGTTACCACTGCCAGTGGAAGAGTGGAAGCCCAGGGTTCTAAGGACAGGTCAGGGTGCCACCTTCAGCAGTTGGTCCAGTTTGGTGTCTTGCCCAAACACCCCCAGGCCGATGCTCAACATAAAGCAGAAGCACCATAAATGTCTGCTAAGTAATTCCTATTCCACACCTGTCAACACTGCAACGTGCTATTGAACTTTAGGAAAACTAAATAAAGAAAGGCAGAATCATCTAATTCATTACACACTTACTAAAAACCAAGTGGGTGTTTCATAAATACCAGCTGTCCTAAAGCGAATCCATTTTGATGGCATACTTTGTCTTCCACTGCATAAACACTTTAGCAATAAAAGAAATTGGAGACAAGAATCCTCCCACAGTACTGCCTGGCTTACAAAGGAGATTTAATTTGAGGACAGGCAGTGCTGAAATCATGGTATTCTGCTTTTTGCACTTGAAATTAACTCAATACTTTTTCTACATTGTTGCAGAATATTCCAGTGAACATCCACTGTGTGGGTGGGCCACCACAGCCTTATCTAATCTGCGATTACTGGATATTTAGATACTTCCCATTTTTGGGGGAATGAAAGATAATGCTACAAGGACACAAAGCTAACTCTTCTCATGTTTTCCTCTAGAATGAATTCTCAGATATTCCGTGGTCATAATTTCCCTGGTTCTTGGCATATGTGCATTGCATGCAACTGACTCCTTCTGGAAACGGGGCTGGGCATTTTCTACTGCCCTCACCATCTACGAGCAGCATACTGTCAATGTAACTCCAACAGCGTTGGGTCCAATCACAGAAAACATCCCCCGTGAATTCACTAAGCATAAGAAGATGCCTGCTTGCTGTTTTAATACACACTGTAAAATTCAGAGTTTGAGCAATCTTCTTCTTTACTCATGTTATTCGTCTTAGGTGTTTTGTTATTTCTACAAATTTATTAAGCCTTTTCATAAAGTCCAGACTGCCTGTCATGTGTGCTGCAAACATCCCCCAATCTGCTGTTCATGTTTCACTTGCTTCCCGGATGCAGACCCCTTTGTCTGCCTGCCCCTCTGGTTTGCTGGGCAGCGTCCTTGCACTGCCTCCTCCACCCCTCGTTGCCATGGCAATAGCCAGGCTCATTTGACATGAATGAGCCAGGCTTATTCAACACAATCCCCACCCTCGGCCTCTGCCAAGCCTGGGGCACCTCCCCACTGGCCGACCTACCTGGGGAGAGCCTCCGGAAGGCTACTTTCTTGAACTTGGGAGGTACAAACTGAGAGGTTGAGAAAACCCGTTTACACCGAGAGAAGGCTGCAGCAGTGGGGTAGAGAGGAGTTTAAATGAGAGCAGAGAGCATGTCCTGGGTTCCCTCTGGTGCCAGCATCTGAGTGCAGGCCATGTCTGGGCCCGGCTCCACCTGGCCCTGGGTCTGAGCCACCTCTGTGCCCCTCAGCAAACTCTCCCTTACAAAAGGCTGGATCAGAGGGACTCTTAACTGATACAGCTCTTGTCAGTTTTCATGTTCTTGAATCTATTTTCATTGTCAAGCTTAGGGAATCGTCATTCTTCCAGACAATGGAGAGTCAGTTTTACGCTGTTAGATTGTCTATGTAATTCTACTTTCTAGGAGCTACATATTTAACGTTTTAATCCATAAACAATTGATATTTAATAACTAATTTTTTCACCCATTAGAATATATTTGTATTATAAGGGGCATGAATCTAAATTTGTTCTTTTGGGCCAAAAGTAAATAGTTTCCCCAATATCATTTAGTAAACAAGCCTTGTCTTCCCTCAGTTCTGTAGGACCCCTCTACTTGCGTTAGCCACCTCTGTATGAGATGTGTGTCCTGGCCCACTGAGGTGACAGCCTGTTACCAGCCCCCACTTCTGTCACTGCAGCCTGGTAGCTGTTTAAACAGCTGACAGAGTGGGCACCTCCCTTTTCGTATCCTGTCCTCATACCTGATTTAAGGCCAGCCTTTCCATTCTTGGTAATGTCAGCAACAGGAACTCTGTGATATTAGTAATAAGACTCAAAACCACCTCTCCCGTCTGTTACGACAGCGGTTGGTCTCCCAAGCACTTGCGCGGCAGGCAGCGAGCTGGCGCGACGGGACCCGGGCTGGCGTCCTCCCGGCAGGCGCAGCGTTGAGTGGTCCACACAGCCAGAGGCCTGGGCCCGGCACAGCTAGGATAGCACCGCGCAGTGGGCTGAGAGCCACTGTGGGAGGCGAGGCCAGGCGGATCCTTGGAACCCAACTTTCTAGGTCAGAACCTCAGCCCCTCCACTTACTCACTGTGTAATTTTGGTTAAATAATTTATTCCCAAGTTTTTTATCTGTAAAATGGTAAAAGCAACAGTACCTGCACTTCACTGGGTCATTGTGGGAAATAAAGCAGATAATACAGGCAAGGACTTAGCATTAGCACCCAGCATAGCATCAGGACCCGGAACTATGAGCTGTTCTTCTATGCTGACTGTTGGGAGGTAGCACCCTTTCCCCTTCGCTCCTGCCATCTGAGACCCCATCTTGACGGGGCCCGTGCAGCTGACAGCAAACAATGAGGGCCTGGCATCTGGGTTACTGCATCTTCCCCAGCCCTTTATTCTAAATATATCCAGGCCACGCTAAGGATGAGCAGGCGCTCTAGCCCAATGACAGACACGATTTTTAGGGTCAACAGCTTTGGATTTTCCATCAGAATAATGTCTTGATAGCAGACATCTTTTAACATACAGTATGAAATGTTATTCAGGCCTTATATCAACACCAAGAGAAAAGAAAGGTTATTTTAAGCACTAGACCTCCCATCCAAAAAGAAAGGACAGCACAGTAGGCAGAGGGAACTGAACACAGCCTGGCTCCCCCGGCCCATCAAGTGCAAGGGATGGGGGACAAGATGTGAAAGAGGTGAGCTAGGCATGGGCTGGGCAGCCTGCCATCCAGATGGAGGAGTGCAGCTGTCATTCGGTAGTCAAGGGGAGTCCAGGAACCTAAGCTGAATGGCAACTATCAGATTTGCAGTTTGAGTAGAACAGTCTGGCTAAACTACAAAGATCGGATATAAAGCAGGAGTTGACAGACTACAGCCTGCAGGACAAATCTGGCCCACCATCTGTTTCTGTAAATAAAGTTTTATTGGGACACATTCATGCCCATTTGTCTATGTATTATCCATGGCTGCTTTGACACTACAAGAGCAGAGTTAAATAGTTGCAACAGAGACCCACATGGCCCACAAAGACTAAACTATTTACTATCTAGTCCTTTACAGAAAAAGTTTGCGGCCCCCAAGCCCCCTGATTTAACGATTGGAAGCCAAGGAACCAATTAAGAAGTTAGGCAGAGAATTTAACAAGGGCCTGAACTAAAACAATGTTTAAAGGATAGGAAGTAGCAAAAGTGTTACTTTTAGTTAAAATGTTAAGAACATTTAGTAGTTAAAACATTAAGAAATGTTTAAGGGGCCAGCCTGGTGGCGCAGTGGTTAAATGCGCACGTTCTGCTTCTCAGCGGCCCGGGGTTCGCCAGTTGGGATCCCAGGTATGGACATGGCACCGCTTGCCAAAAGCCATGCTGTGGTAGGCATCCCATGTATAAAGTAGAACGGAAGATGGGCATGGATGTTAGCTCAGGGCGAGTCTTCCTCAGCAAAAAGAGGAGGATTGGCAGCAGTTAGTTCAGGGTTAATCTTCCTCAAAAAAAAAAAAAAAGAGAAATGTTTAAGAGGTAAACCTGGAGGAGAGATGAAAGGGTGAGGGAGAGAGGCTTCAAGGATAAATACTGCTCAGGTGAGCCAGTGAAAGCATGGACTGAGATCAGGAATCCAGACAAGGAGCTGGTATGAGAGAAAGAGAAGCTGGAGAAGCCATGGGACCTTGCGATATAACTCCAAAGGTCAGTGGGAGGTCATCAATCAGAATGACCTGAAATCACAAGAGAGCTGATCTCACTCAAACAGAGGAGGAGGACCAGCAAGAGGACAGCCGTACGTCCCACTGAGTATGCCCTCAGGGAGCCTGCCCAAACAGGTGTGACTTGCCTCCTGAACTTTCTCTACTTTGTTCAACATCCTTTCTTTTTTCTTCTCATGTAGTTACTTAAACAAAAACGTTAGCAGAAAAAGAACCAATGAACTAACCTGATTCAGCTCTCAGTCCCAGGCCTTTAGCTTTTAGTCTTGAGTGAATAAATTCTTCTTTTTCCTAAAAGAAGACAACTATCAGAACTCCTTTGCTCTGTCTTTCCATTTTTCCTTGGCTACGACACAGCTCGCAGTGTTCTGAAGTCTGGATGTGGATTTCCTGAGAAACGACCCATCTCAAAGCATGTTTTAAACCATCTGATTTTGGTTAAAAGTTTCATGCTTGAAATAGGATTTGAAAACGAGATGTTTAATAAACTTTGGGAGGGACTCTTTGTTTATAAATCCACAGAACAAGAAAAATGCACTCCGTTTGACTTAGCTTGCCCAAATGGGTAAACATATAAAGCTTAAATATTTTTCTTCTGGATTAGAATATTCATACTTCTTTCTCATGTAGCTCATTTATGAGTATGTTGTTAAGAATTCTGAATTCTCAGGAAGAATGGCAGCACATCACAGAAACCCCTATTTTTATAAACACACACACACACACTAAACATGCAGTCCTAGCTCTGGCTCTGCTACTCCTACCTCCCTGAAGTCTAAAGAGCTGTGATTCCATGAATGACTGACATTCTTACGTATAGTTACATATTGGTTTAAAAATTGCATCCATATAAATGTACTTGATAATGTATCCGTATGAGGAAAGAGAGGCAAGGGAGGGCAGGACTGAGACCACCAAATCACTGAAAGGCAAAGCAAATACTGAAGATTTAGCTCCCCCAAGTGGCCAACTGTATTATTTCTCATTCTGACCTGAAACCTAAACTTACCTTACGAAAAGTCAAATTCTGGTTTGCCCAGAACTGTTGGTTCCATTCTTGTGTTTCTTGTCTTAATTCTCTGAGCTTTTGTTCCAGTGGTGATTCATTTTCGGGGATGTAAAAGTGAACAGGTCGAAGGTTTGAACATTTATCTGGGGGTCCTATCCAATCATAGCAAGATTTTCTTGGAGGACAGAATCTTGAGACCTTTAACAAAAAGCATGGAGTTAACATACAACATAAAGAATCTCTGGTATTATAAAATGAACAGTCCAGATTTATTAAAGTCCTTCATTAACTTCCTCTTTCTTTAATTTTTAAATGATTTTTTTAAATTAAAAAAAAATTTTTTTTGAGGAAGATTAGCCCTCAGCTAACATCCGTGCCCACCTTCCTCTACTTTATATGTGGGATGTCTGCCACAGCATGGCTCGACAAGCAGCGTGTATGTCCGCACCTGGGATCTGAACTGGCGAACCCCAGGCCGCAGAAGCAGAATGTGTGCACTTAACCGCTGCGCCACCGGGCTGGCCGCCTAACTTTCTCTTTTTAAGATTATGTGCCAGGGAATATCCAAATTAAAAGAACTATAATGAATATTATTAACATTAACACTATACCGAACACGTTCAACAATGGTGCTGGAATAATGCAACATCCTAAGGCAAAAAAGAAGCTCAACCTGCACTTTGCACCATATACAAAAATTAACTCAAAATGGAGCAAAGACCTAAATATAGAATCTAAAACTATAAAACTTCTAAAACATGGTAGAAAATTTTACAACCTTAGATTAGGCAACAATTTCTTTGCTACAACAGCAACAGCACAATCCACAAAACAAAATAGACGAACTGCGCTTCACCGAACTTAAAATCTTCTGCTCTCTTAAAGACACTATCTAAAACAATTAAAAACAAGCCACAGTCTGGGAGAAAATATATGCAAATCTGGAAAAGGAGCTGTTTCCAGACTAAAGATTTCTCAAAACTTAATAACAAGAAAACATCTAATTAAAAATGGGCAAAATATCTAAATTAAAGTTCTTCAAAGAAGACACATCGATGGAAAATAAGCACATAAAAACATGCTCAACAGCATTAGTCATTGGGGAAATGCAAATCATAATCACAATGATGGGCTGGCCCAGTGGCGCAGCAGTTAAGTGCGCACGCTCCACTTTGGTGGCCCGGGGTTCACCGGTTCGGATCCCGGGTGCAGACATGGCACCGCTTGGCAAGCCATGCTGTGGTAGGTGTCCCACATATAAGGTGGAGGAGGATGGGCACGGATGTTAGCTCAGAGCCAGTCTTCCTCAGCAAAAGGAGGAGGATTGCCAGCAGTTAGCTCAGGGCTAATCTTCCTAAAAAAACAACAACAAAAAGATCACAATGAGATACCACTACATACGTATTAATATGGCTAAAAAAACAAAACAAAAATATCTAACAATACCAGTACTGTCAAGGATATAAAACAATCGAGCTTTGGGGCCGGCCCAGTGGCACAGCAGTTAAGTGTGCACATTCCACTTCTCGGCGGCCCGGGGTTAGCCAGTTCGGATCCCGGGTGTGGACATGGCACCACTTGGCAAAAAGCCATGCTGTGGTAGGCGTCCCACATATAAAGCAGAGAAAGATGGGCATGGATGTTAGCTCAGGGCCAGTCTTCCTCAGCAAGAAGAGGACGATTGGCAGTAGTTAGCTCAGGGCTAATCTTTCTCAAAAAAATAAAATAAAATAAAACAATCGAGCTCTTATACATTGCTGGTGGGAACACAAAATGGCACAGCCACTTTGGAAAAAAGGTTGGCAGTCCACTATAAAATTAAACATACAGTTAATGTACCAGCAAACTCACTCCTAGTTTATTTATCCAAGAGAATGAATACAGATGTTCACATGTTCACACAAAAACCTGTATGTAACTATGTAAAGTGGTTTTATTTATAACTGCCAAAATCTAGAAACAGTCCAAATGTCTGTCCACTGGTGAATGAACAAAGTATGGTGCATCCATCCAATGAATACTAATCAACAAGAGAGGTCTACAGGCAATACGGATGAATCTCAAATGCATTATGCTTGGTGAAGAAGCCACACTCAAGAGGTGACATACTGAATTATCTATTTATATAATATTCTGGGAAAGACAAGTGTTGGGAGGCAGGAAGGGGTTGACTACAAAAGAATTTTCCAGGGTGATGAAAATGTTCTATATCTTGAATTGTGATATACACATACGTCAGGAGTGAATTTTACTGTAATTAAATTGGACTTCAATAAATTTGATATTAAAATAAAAAGATCAGCTGAGTAATCAAAAGACTAGCTTTCCATTTGTCTGTTAAAAGATCAATGTAACCAAAATTCATGGGGGGAAAATACTATTCAGTTTGGAAATCTCTTAGATCTTATCTATTTATTCATTTTTCTAAAAGATTTTATTTCTCATTTTTCTCCCCAAAGTCCCCCAGTACATAGTTGTGTATTTCTAGTTGTGGATCCTTCCAGCTGTGACATGTGGGACGCTGCCTCAGCATGGCTTGATGACCGGTGCCATGTCTGCACCCAAGATTTGAACTGGCAAAACCTTGGGCTGCCGAAGCAGAGTGTGTGAACTTAACCACTCAGCCACAGGGCCAGCCCCTAGACCTTATTTTTTAAAAAGCAAGCTCTGGAGCTGGCCCTGTGCACAGTGGTTAAGTTTGGCATGCCCAGGTTGATAGGTTCAGATCCTGGGCACAGACCTACACCACTCACCAGCCAGGCTGTGGCAGTGACTCACATACAAAATAGAGGAAGACTGGCACAGATGTTAGCACAGGGTGAATCTTCCTCAGCAAAAAAAAAAACAACAAAAAAAACAAGCTCTACAGAACTGACTTCCACCTCCAAGAACGACAGAGTGCTTCCCAGAACCAATCCCTCCATAAACAAGCAAAAATTACTCAGCAACAGAAAGGAGCCACTGATATAAGCAACATGCATGGATCTCAAAACAATATACATAGTGAAAGAGCCAGGCACCAAAGAGGACCTACCACGTGATTCCACTTGTGTGACATTCCAGAAAAAGTCATCAGATCAGTGGTTGCCTGGGGTGAGGGGTGGAGGGGACTGGAGCAATGTTCTACATCTTATTGGGGTGGTGACTGAAAGGTTTATACATTTGTCAAAACTCATCAAACATATACTTAAAATGGGTGTGTTTGTTTTACCGTATATAAATTACACCTCAATAAAGCCAACTAAAAGAATGGAAAACTTACATGGACCAAAACAATACTAGATTGAACAGAATTAACAAATGCTTTGCATATAGAAGGCACTGCATTCAGGACATTTCAGGACTTCACTATCACCACTACAAGCTGCAACATCGAAGGAACTGAAAACAGAGATGCAGGGTTTGCGAATTTTAAGGTAAAACAGCTCTTGTCTACTTGGCTGCTTACTGATGATTTAATTTGAAAAAATAGAATAATTAATAATTTTACAGATCCAATGTGGCTCACCAGGTGAAGCTGTGCGTTTTGCAGTGGCTCACCTGGCACCAGCAGCATGGCAAGAGAGGAGAGGCCCAGCAGAAGAGTTGATTTGCTCGGCTCCACATATAATCCTCAGCCTTCCTGTCCCCAGTGCAGGTCTGGCGGTCATTTAGGTCCCTGGACTCAAGCCTTGACAACGAAGCTAAAGACCAAGTGCAGACTGAGAAGGGAACCAAGTCACTGTTCAGGAGACACAGCTTGTTTGTTTTCCCTTTGATGGCCACCACTAATCACCACCAACAAAACCACGCATGCCAGGAACTTGGCAATAAGGAGACTGCTAAATGCAGAACCATCCATCAGCATTCCCATATTCTCCTTTGCTTGGATGCTATGATCTTCCTAAACCTTCTAAATTCCCAAGCATTCTAAAAATAGTAAGAATTTAGAACATGACAAGGATAGCAGCAGGGAGTGGGTTACAGAGCTCAGTGCGGCTACTTAGCACGACAGTTCGGAGACCACAGAGAACATTTTGGGAGGTTCCATCAGCTCTGAAATGACTCGTTTGAATTCAGCCGGTCAAGATAGGTTATAAAATATGTGGAACATCCACTCATGCAAAAAGCTTCTTCCCTACACCTGAGAACAGTTTCTGAGTTATAATATTACAGCTCTTCCTACAGGACAACACTGGCAGTTGGGATATATTGTTAAAAATCTGTGGTATGTTTAGCTCAGCATTAGAATGCTTATCATTTATTTATTTATTTTTTGAGGACGATTAGCCCTGAGCTAACATCTGCTGCCAATCCTCCTCTTTTTGCTGTGGAAGACTGGCTCTGAGCTAACCTCCATGCCCATCTTTCTCTACTCTATATGAGGGATGCCTGCCACAGCATGGCTTGATGAGCAGTGCATAGGTCCACACCTGGGATCTGAACTGGCAAACCCCAGGCCACAAAAGCAGAACGTGTGATCTTAACCACTGCACCACTGGGCCGACCCCTAGAATGATTACCATTTAGAAAATTATTTTGAGTCTAGAATAAGTAAATGAGCAAGAAAAGCTGAAAAGCACATATGATTTCCTCAGACATTCAAAATGTTTCTAGAAACGTATCTTTTAAAAAATTCAAATTGTTAAAGACTCTTAGATTAGGTAAAAGAAGTTATAGAATTTGAGTGAGAAAAAAAAAATTCTCAACCACTGAAAAGCAGCTGTATAGTAATGAGTTAAAGATTTGGTGACAATTATTATCATGAAGTGGAAAGCTCCTTAAAAGTCAACCAACATTTACAGAGCAATAGTGGAGCCTAAGATGCTGAAGGAGGCCCCGGGGGAATGTGAGGGGTCCCCCAGGCCTGCTCTGGGGGGATGTGAGTGCTCTGTTGGGGCAGAGGATGGCAGCCATTCTCTGCTGCAGTTGAGGGTGGATGAGAGGGTTTCAGAGACAGAGGAACACGGAGAAAGCATGAAGACAGTGGTGAGGCACCTGCTGGAGTCGCCCCTGGGCAGTGGTGTGCTGGCGAATGTTTAATACGGGTGGGGGATGTTTATGATTATAACTTTACTGATATAAGGATCCAGAGCACACTCTTTACAAACAATAATAAAATATGACATCTTTCCTTGTAAATTCCACATAGCCAATTCATTCCCACAAACTGCTTCAGTGAGATATAATTCACATACTATAAAATCAACCCCCTTAAA